AAAAAAAAGAAACCAAGCAAAAAAAAAAAAAAAAGGAGATTCTTGTTTCATATTGAACCATCTTCTCAATGCAAAGTGAAATTGCTTAAAAATAAACAGCATAAAATGTTTTGTCAGACAGACATACAAAGGTTTGATTAAAGGGAGAAAACAAAACGCAGTGGCAATGGCAAATCTATCTGCAACAACAACAATTAAAATGCAGCACAGTGGAACACAAAAAAAATCCTTTACACCTTAATGCCATCCCATCTGTATACGAGTTTCTTTCTGCAGCTGAACACGAACTAAGAGTTTTAGAAAAAAATAATCTTTCTGCATATAATGCAAGTGTACGGCATGTGCAAAGATGATTCTTCAAAAACTACACAAAGAGAAGACAACAGTAACCCATATAACCCGTACTGGAACAATAGGTGTGTGTAAGAAACATACAAATACTAATGTTTTTTTTAACTTTACCGTTGTGTTCACTTTGTGTGGTTTCTGAAGTGGTCCCGTATACTTGCATTATATGCACTAAAAATCTTTGTGTTGATCTGAAGAAAGTAATATACATCTGGGATGGCATGAGGGCGAGTAAATGAGAGAATTGTAATTTTTGGGTGGAGTATCCCTTTAATGAACCAGATGTGATGCAGAGGCCAGAAATATATTCTAGACAGAATATAAGAGATGCTGGAATGTGGGCTTGCTACAGAAACAATAAAACAACACGCATAAATCAAAATCATTTAGAAGTGAAATGTATAACAGGTTTAAGAAGTTACAGGTAACAGGTTTTCTCTTCTAAAAGACTTAACACAAACTATTTCCACTTCATCCTGTTTATATCCATGTTTTGGAATAGCATTATGATACAATGAAAAAAAAATACTGTACATGTTTCATGTATCCTCTAAAACAATAATAATAATATACATAAATGTTTTTACATAACATTTATAAATATTATAATAAATATAAAATTAATAAAAAACTTATTTTATGTGGTTTTCAATTTTAGTTGAAGTTTTAGACATTTTATGTTTTTGTTATTAACATTTATAAACGAATATTATAATATACTATAATATTAGTACATATTAATATTTTGAATAAGCTTTTATTTTTATATTTTTAGTATTCAATTTAATTTTAGTCATTATATGTGCTTTGTCATTTTTATATTTCTATTTGACTTCAAGTTAATTTTGTCATTTTATTATTTCAAATGTATTTTATGAACATTTCTCATTTTCATTAATATTTCGATTTTATCTCAGCTTCATTTGAATGAATTTAAACAGTTTTTAAGAGTTTCAGTTGACAATAACACAGGTGTACACCGTATATACAGATGACAGGCCTCACTGACCATTCATTTCCCAGATAACACCTATTTGGGACAAAACCTGCAAGTTTTGTGATACGCACTTGGTGAGGGGTGAAGGAGTGAACGTGCTGTAGGAGAGGCTCCCTCATCTCCGGGCAGCGCTCAAACACACTAGCCAGTTGTGGTGGAGGCAGCTGGAGGAGAACGTTGTAGGACTGGGGTTTGGTGCGCTGGCAGCACTTTACAAAGCCCTCCCACACTTTAGGATACTTCCACACCTGTACAATCAGTCAATCAGCAAAAGATTACAATGAGAGATGAGTATGATGAGATTATGTATGAGAACTTGCGTCGATAATGAGCAGTGATACAGGGTTCGGTCCACTGACCTGTTTGAGAATGAGTCGGGCTAGGATGTTCATGACGAAGCCGGCCAGGCGAGGGTACATAGAGAGGGACTGGATGACCGTACGCATCAGCAGTATGGGGAGAGGGGTCTGCTCCATCAGCTGCTGCATCACCACAGCCAGCACCTCAGAGGTGTACACGTTCTTCTCCCCAAAACACAGGTTAGTGGCTACAGAGGAAAAGAGAACAACATGGAAAGTGATGAAAAAAATAAAACATTAAAAAGAATGACAAGGAAAGCAAAAGAGGCAGTGACAGATTCCCCACTATGTTGGAGCCATTTACATTTTGATTATTAATATATTTAATTAAATATAAACTACAATAAATTCAACTAATTAAACTAGAGGCCACATTAATACAAATAACATCATTTTTCACTTAAGAAATAAAATATAAAGCAAGTAATTTGCAATTTAGGCCTGGCTTTCAATTATACTGAAATGATGACTAGTTATAATTACGAATTTTATACCCAGAAAGTGGAAAAAAATCATAAAAGGCATCAATATCAGCGATACTTGCCTTCTTTGACATGACTTAATGAAGAGATGCCATTACAAATATTCAAATATTCCAATTATTGAACTTATGTTGTTTCCACATTAGTTTGCAGATCCAATGTGAATGTGTTTGAAATGTCAATGTTAGGTGCAATTAATTGTGATTAATTAAAGAAATCTGTCTGATTAATTAATTATTTTATTTTAAATATTTATTTTTAAGTAGGACAGATGACATGAGGCAAACCTTCTCCAGGCCATTGATCACCGGGATGAGGAAACGAACATCTGGCACTCGCTTATGATAAAGATCCCTCACCCTCTCCACCAGCTCAGGAGATGGAGGCACTGTGAACACGAAACAATCCACAAAGGGCAGCATTTACTATACAGAGATGCATATAGACACATTCACTTTCACACACACACACACACACACACCTTTATCAGTGAGTATGTGCAGACAGCGAGTGACCAGCGTCTCCGCTCCTTTAGGACAGTCCTCCACCAGGAGCAGCAGGTCAGGAGAGCTCATTCCCATTCCTCTTATCTATAAAAACATTGATGAAAAAACTATTAAACCAAAACTATTAAAATGATCATAAATGAACTGTTTTAAATGCAATCACAATTAAGAGTTTTTTTTCTTTTAGTCCATATCTGTTAGTTGTGAAGCCAGTTTTATGCTAGTGTACAATGATGTTATTAACTAAAATTAAAACTATTACAAATTTTTGTTAATTGACGTAAAGCTGCAATAAAATCTAAATATAGATAAACAAATAAATATATATGAAGTACTGAAATAAAACTGAATAACTGAAGCTATATAATGACGGAAGCACATAAAACTAAAATTAAAATTCAAAGAATAAAAAACATAGCATTGATTTAAAAATAAATTCTAATTCAAAATATAAATAACTACTTCAATAGTATATAAATATTACTAAAATAACCCTGTAGTGTACTCCTAAAACACTGACAAAATAAACTTTTAACAGATATATGCATTCAAAATAAAATAAAAACAATGACACATTTTGTCCACAAGGGTGTCCACAAATTTTTAGCCAGCAAAAGAAATCAGAACGCTCCCTTTCCCAAAGCCACATACAAGGCAAATTTAATTTAATTCCGTTCAGTTATCATGCTATTTTAGTACACATGACGTGCACACAAACAAATAAAATAAAAATAAGATGGAAAAAACTAGGGCTGCCCTCAACTAAAGATTTGTCTGGTCGACTAATAGTCGTTCATTTGAAACATTAGTCGTTTAATTGCATGCTTATTAATAAACTATTTAAATCATAATAATGAGCCTTTAATTGCCTACATTGCCTAATAAGCGCTCAAGCACACGTGTAAAGCTTGCCACAGCACACCGGCAGAAGAAATGAATGTGTCAGGGAAATACAGCAAGGAGGCTGCATTAACATTTTAATAATTCATTGATAAACTAGTGCTTTATTTGTTTTCGGTTTAAGAGATGAACTCGGCGACACTGACTCGTCATCTCCGCAGACTGGATGCGCCTGTATGCATGTTTCATACGGATTACATAATCTGAGAATATCTGTTTTCTAGGGGTGTAACGGTACACGTATTCGTACCGTATGGCTCACGGGGCAAATTCCAAATGGAAGTGATCATCCCTATCCCCTTGGAGTGGGGACTTTGGAGTGAGCAGGGCACGTGCGTGCCATCATGTAGTCGTTTGGAATGCACTTGGCAAAGGAAGCGATGTAATTTCCTCATTAAATATAATATAAATTATATGAATATAAATATATACATGTAAACACATGTAAATATTTTCAAAATATATACTGTATGTGTGTGTATCTATATATACATAATAAATATACACAGTACACAAACATATATTATGTGAACAAAAACTGTTATTTTGGATGCGATTAATCGTTTGACAGCACTAATTCAAATTGAAATCAGTTATTTTAAATATAAAAATATTTCACAATATTACCGTTTTTGCTGTATTTTAGTTCAAATAAATGCAGGCTTGGTGAGCAGAAGAGACTGCTCAAATCTTACTGATCAAAACCTTTTGACTGTGTATTAAAACATTTTCTAAAGTGCCTAAATGTCAAAATTAGTACAATATATTTGTTGAAAAATTCTAATACTGAACACACTATTTAATGCTGTGACTCATTATCATTATTTTTGTGTTGCTGTCTCTAGCTCCCTTCCTCCCTGTACAATAAATCCATGTGAATATCTGTCTCTGCTAATTTTTTTTAATGTAACTTTACAATCGATATAGATGTCCTTTAGCACAGCATTCTGAATGATGATAATAATGGGGTGCTACTGATAGCCTAACAGATACTAGCAGTTTATTACTCAACTAGGTTAATAAAGACAAAACTATCTAGCGTATTTACAAATGAAACTGACCCGCACTTGAAGCCCTGAACAGGTCAGTGAGGTTGCTACATTTCACTGCTTCTTCTGGCCGCTTTCTCTCTTTCATCGAGTCCTGCGCATCGGTTCTGTTCAGAACCGTTTGACGGAAGCGCGGAACAGACGTGAGCTGATTCGTATAGCGCAGCGCTGCCAGTCAAGACTAACCGATATATGACTTATTATCGAATGAAAAAATCGGAAATAATCACTTTGGTACATTGAGAAGGCATAAATATAAAATATAAATAATAATAATAAAAACAATTAAAAAAAACAGGGCAGCGGGCCAAATCAGCCGCCAGGCCACTGGAAATTCTCTCGGTGCTCCCGATGGCCAGTCCGGGCCCTTCAAAGGCATAGGGATGATCACTTCCATTTGGAATTTGCCCCGTGAACCATATGGTAAGAATACGTGTACCGTTACACCCCTACTGTTTTCCATTAGAATTTTACATTTCACTCTCTATAGATATATTTTTCATGTCTGTAAGGCAAGCAAACATGGAGTTTTGTAGTTTAGCGCTCAAGTTCACAGAGACTGAGACGGCAGAAAGCGCATCCTGTTTGCTTTCATTATTTTACAATAGTACAATGTTTTGTTGTTATTGTGAGTACACACAAATAAACGTAGTCTTTACAGATTCGAAAGATGACAGAGTATTTTAAGAGCAAGTAGCCGAACCGGCACCTCTGTCATGCAGTGAGCAACTAATAAAATTTTGGCCGACTAAGCCTCTTCTGGTCAACTAATGGTTAGTCGAATATTAAGGGGCAGCCCTTGAAAAAACCTGTTTGAAAAAATTCAGTTATGGATGAGAGGCATTAGTGGAAGAGAAGGTCTTACAGGCTGTTCAATGACCCTGAGCACACTGCGTTTGATGTCGGCGATGGCCTCGGTGTAGACGGCAGCCAGCTCGTGCACCAGACAATGGTTGAGGGGAAGGAGGGAGAGATAGAGGTAAAGACACTGCCGCACTGTCTCCTCTGTCCAGGGAGCCGCCACCTCTGAAAACGGATGAAGGATGGAACAAAGTCAACAATGTTTTAGAGCACAGTACACCAGTGAGTTCATTTTACACTACTTTATCATAGTTTCAAGTTACTTTCTAAATTAAAGTATATTTAATACACAAGTATGAGCAAATAGACCATAACCCTACTCAATTATATATAAAAAAGTGATAGATCTGAAGCCTAGGAAAAGTCTTTGAACCTGTATCCTCTCCTGCTCCAAACAGAAGAGAAGGTGGGTTTGGGTGGACCAGAAACTGCATGTAGGTCAGAGCGAACTTCTCAATGCAGTCCTTCAGATGTTCCTTCTCATACATGCGCTTGATGAAGCTGAGAGCAGTGGACCGCACCTGAACATCAGTGGGGATTGTTATTATACTGCTATGAACTTAATTAATGAAACAATGAATGACAGATGCTTAGAGGTTAACCTTTTCTTTTTCGTGAGAGCTGAGGTTCAGAAGGACATTGAGGTACTGGTACTGTCTGGAGGGGCGTTTGAGGATAAGCTCCTTTAATGTGGACATGCCCAGGTAAACACGTGACTGAAAGACAAATATGGAACATTAGAGTTTCTTACAAGAACATTTTATATGTAAATGTATATGCAGATGATGACACGCTGCTTGTCGAGAAGAAAACACTGTAAATGATGGCATCAGAAACTTGTAATGGGGGTTAAGTGTAGTAGTGTGGCTAACCTCGTCCTCACAGTAGCGTTGAATCACCTCCAGTGCAGAGTCTGTAATGACCGGAGCCTCCAACACAAGCTTGGTGAAAAGCCTGTGATAAATGAAATTCAGGAATAGTTACAAAAATTTTAAACATATCAAAATACACATTTTTATTAGTTCACATAAAACAAGCACCGAATTAGTGTAGCTGGCAAATTCATATGAAATACATTCGGGAAATTCAAATGTCCTGTGGCGTGACATGCTAAACTCCATCCAAAGCCATAATTTCTTATTGATGTAGATTTCATTATCTCATTAATTGAAAAACTACCTGGAATATTTGTACTTTTAAATATTCATTTGTCACACTTTAGGACAATTAAAATGCACTAATGAAGGAAATTTAAAATGGTGAACTTAAAAGAAATAAAATATGCACTTTCATTAGAAGATTACTACAATTTTAACCAAAAATGTAAAAAAAATAATTACACATTATGCATCTTTAACCTAAATGTTACCCATTCAAAGATAAATGCAGTACAATTCATGACAGGCTCTGCCAAACTGGAGTTTGAGAGTTAACTATAAGCTAATAATTAAATTAAATATAAAAATGAAAATAAATAAATAATAAAAAAAATACTAAAAAGATTAAATATTTGTTTACTTGCATGTCACGTGACCATTTACCAACAGAGAACCATTGACATGCAAATGTGTTAAATTACTGAAATATTAACTGAGAGAGGACTTTAAATAAGCATTTTAGGTCAAAGGGATTCAGGTGACAAAAAGACTCTCCTAATGTATGAGCACTGTCATATCTGCAAGCGAAAAAAAAGTTCCACCTTTATCATTCTGATTCATTATTTTAATTCACTGATTGTATCATGCTGATGAATAATTTGTGGTGTTATGAGGTGATTCTCACCCATCCCTCTGCTCAGGTTTCTCCTGCAGGCCGGACAGCAGTGTGAACAGACAGTGCTCATAGCTGTCCAGAGAGCCCGAGGGCTGCTGACTCAGGTATTCATTGTACTCATGGAACAGCAGAGAAAAGGCCAGCTCACTTCTGCCCCGCATATCCTCCAAAATAAACTGCAACAAGTCATTTTTCTTCCCATCCTCAAACTGGGTCACCAACCGTGCAAGCAACTTCACACGGACCTGGGAAAAGATTAAAACACAGAGATGTGGACTTAGTAGAACGGATAGAGTGGCTGAGGTAGCAAGCACCCAAAATGGGACTCACATGGGACTTCCCACTCTGTGCAATGGCCTTTTCTGATTGAAGGATCCGCTTGATGGCCATGTTGGCGAGTTTCTCGATCTGAGCCTCTGAGAAAGGCTGCACCACGTCAGCCAATTTGAACACTTTTTTTCTGCCACTGGCCCCAGGAGCTCTGAATGAGGGTTAATGGGGAGAAAAAAAAGAGACAATCTATCCAGCTAGATGATTAAAACTAGAAACAACACACAAATACAACATTGCTGCTGTTCCCATTAGGGGCCGCCACAGCAAAATTATTCGTGGGTAGTCTTCCCTCTTTTCCTCACTTTTCTTCGCTTTTAAATAGCTTGTAAATGCATGTGCGCATTTTACTTTCACTTTCGAATTAGCGGCAGTTCGGCGTTAATTGATTGAATGGACAACAACAAAACAGTACAGCAAACTCACTTATTAAACATTGAAAATTTTACTTATTAACAAAACGAATAAAACACACCATGCTAATATAAAATGACAAATAACTTACACAGTTATTTGTTAAGTTTAAATATAAAAAAACGGAAAATCAGCCAACACGGCGGAACCAAATAAATAAGAAACAAATGTTTAAAAAAACTTCCAAAATCACCTTAGATAATCGGCCAACAGGCTTTTCAAAATCCAAAATATTTTTAAAACAGGTACTTTTGCATTTCGTTTCAAAACCAAATCTTCCGCCATCGTCTTGTCTTTCTCACCTCACTCTTCTTGTCAGTCAGCTCGACTCACTCTCCTCACGTAATAAATGAAATCTGAGATGCGACTGTCGTTCGGCACGCTGCATTGAGCAGCCGTGTTCAGCTTTTAATTGTAGTGTCTGTTCTCTAACTGAACTAAATTATTTTTATTACTACAAAAAAGCAAAACGACGGTGGGGAACAGTGCCACGGTGGGCAAGTGACGTAACCATTATGGCTGAACACCGATAACACCGTCAACACCGACTATCGCAGCAAGCCTATTGCACATGCGTAAATGAACATAGTGCTTAGTCCTGTAATGGCAGGACACACACATACACAACAAAAGTATTTACTGAATATTTGTCTGTGCTATGTTTTATGTTTGTTAGGGTATCAAACTATTAGCTTAGTGGCATGCGAGTCACAACTTTAGCGTGCTTGACTTCAAATTTAGAAACTATTTAGGTTTCTGCCTCTGTAAATAGCTCTAAAATAGTTTCTTATGAGACTGTGTTTTAATTAGAATCCTGCCTTAGAAGGAAGCCATCCAGGTGTTTCGTAAAGAGCAAGGCAGCTCATTAGGTTTTGGAACAGATAGGCCTGTCACGATAACAACTTTTTGTTGTGCGATATGGCTTGACCCAGGGACACAGCAGACAGTTTGCGGATGATGAGAGGGTCTTTGGAGCTGGACTCACCCGCTCCGCCATCTTCCTCCTTCACCTCTTCATCTCGAGCCTTACACAGCTCCAGCCCTGTGCAGTGCGATGTACGTCATGTAATGTTACGCTACACAAACCCCCTCACAGTCTTTACAGCTGTGCTGACAAGAACTAAAGGAGTTTATCTCTCCTTGCTTTTAAATAATAATCCCTTCACCTGGTCCCAGTCCAGCCGCAGTCATCTGTGTGGCCATCAGCCTGGCTAAATGTTTGATCTGAGCATCAGTGCCGGCCGATTCTACAGGTGTGTAGGTGGCCTGGAAAGAGGCCGGCATCACTTCAGGCAGGTAAACCATACTGATGAGCACCTGCATTGAAACAAAATATAGAAAATGTCTAAGTTAACACACATATAAGTTATAGTAATAAGCAAGACTGTGTGCTACTCATCACACTTCCAAGATTTTTTTGACAAATAATTTTTTACATATATACTTACTGTTTATATTTAGTCTTTTGATTTAGATTTAAATGATTATTGTTTTTAGATGTTTTCAAAAAGTCCCACAATGGACAAACTGATGTTATTATACATGCTTGCGAACAGGTTTTTCTCTACACCAGCATTTTACCAAACAGAGTTCACAAGGGAACTGCTAGGGGTTCATGAGTTGATGAAAATATAATAAATGAAATGAAAAATGTCAAATTAATATAAATGAATGCAAAGGACTGCACAATTAATAGAAATAAAATTGAAATTGCAGGTATAAAATGTAAAAGCAAAATACTGATTTAGTTTTTTTTTCTGCTGCCTGTCTGAGTTTTTTTTATGGAAGGGCGCTTTTTATTTCAGGTCTTTTGAACTGAAGAAATGCAACACCCGCTGACTGAAATGATAGAGCTTGAAAGATCAAAGACAGGACTGGATTCGTCTGAAAGAAGAAAGTCATATACACCTAGGATGCCTCGGGGGTGAGTAAAACGCAGCCTAATTTTCATTTTTGGGTGAACTAACCCTTTAAAGCATGGCACTGTTCATTTACACTCTTCCTGTGTTTTCAGTGTCTCGGAGTGACTCGGTTTGCAGAAAAAACTACTCCACACAAACCCTGTTGTTGGATGTTGCTTATGTGCATTTAGAAACATGCACCAGGATCCTTTTATTTTCAAATTTGTATAATTTTTTCATTTTTTTGTGCCTATGTTTTTAGCATTTTACCATATTTATAGCGAGAAGCATCAACTAAACATACTTAAAGATCTCCCTGCAGTTTTCCACCAAAATAAAGCTTTAGGCTTTTTAATGTTTGTAAATTAAGAATTTGAGACATATTTGCATTGTAAGTTATAGAGCAAAATACAATACTATAATTATTAAATATGAATGTTTTAAATTTTAAAATACTTTTAATTTGAAATAATATTTTTGTCTTCATTTTTTATAAATAGTTTAAAATGTTTAAAAAATTAAACAGTTTATTAATTATTAAAATGTAAAATAGTACACACCAGGTTGGCCACATTCTCTGGGTTCAGCAGAGGCAACAGGAACTCAGCAGTGAGGTCGATGGATGATTGGGTGCCAGCGGAGGAGGATGGTTTTGGGGTGACGACTGGAGCTGGTTCTTCCTTATCATCATCATCCTCCACTAGAGTGGCCTCTGCAAGCACAAACAAGGCATTATTAATCAGGGGTTAAAGCAAAAAAAAATCCTGAGTCTGAACTTTTTTCCGGGGGCGGGGCGGGGGACGGGGATGGGATGTGGCAGCACATGCAAAGAATGCAATGACTGTGGCAACTTTAACATTTGAAAGGATACTATGGCAAAGTTATTGCTTTTCTTATTCAAACTGGGTTTTTTTCATGAATATATGGTTGACCTGAAGAATGAAAGCTGTATCATACACTTGGAAAATTATGAGCTATATCACCGCTTATCGACACTAGGGGTGTGACAATACACTTAGCTCACGAGATGAGACAAAATACAGATACTTGGTTCACTTGTTTTGAACGTGACAATATTTTAATACTATTTTTAAGAAATGTTCATTGACAAAATATTTGTCTTTTAATTACAAATAGTAAAACAATGCAGTTGTTGTATTTTTAAATATTTTAACTAATCTAGGGCTGTAACTAATGATTATTTTGGTAATCAAGTAATCTACTGATTATTTTGACAACTGAGTAATCTGATATTTTTTAGTACACAAATAGACCTAAGTGAAAACCAGGCTTTAGTATGACTATTTATATATAAACTAACGATGAGGCAATAATAATAGGCTCAAATAAAATATCAAAATATGATGTATTCTCTTGTGTTGGCAAAGGTTTATAAATGATTTACGTTACAAATCTAGTGAGATAATGCACAATATTTTTCCAGATGAACGTTAAGCAATTCAAATTCACAGCATATACAGAGGAAGAGCTTAGCCCCTTTCACACATACAGTACTGGCAAATTACCGGTAAGTTACCATTAAGAGATCATGTGTGAACAGGACCTTTTCAAAAATCCCAGTAAATTTGTTCTCGCAATCATATCGTTCTTATGGAGATGGCATGATTACTCTGAGCTGTTTACAAAGCTCTGCTGCTTTTTAATTAGTTATTCTATGTAAATATGCGCTAGATGGATATCTTTGACCATTGCGCCTCGCAGCTTTTTGTCGCGCTTCTCCATTCATCAGGGCAACTCTGCAGTTGGATACTATTAAGCGCGTCTCATGTTTATAAGAGCAAAACATTCTAATTGGCTAGTAATGTTAGTTTGGTTGAGAATGAAAGCTGTGCTCCTCTCATACCATTGGTAGGCGAACTCATGGACTCGAAAGTGATATCAACAAGTTTTTTTAAAATGTAGGATTATTTTTTTCCGCAGCCAAACGCTGCATGCCGGAGATCCGGCATGGTGCCGGAGAACTTTAAGCCCTGATTATTCCTCATCAATCAATCAATGCCAACAACTGACCCACAACAATGACCCACCCAGCTCATTAAAACAGCAACAGCAACTCACCCATCTTGATCCTCTTGCCCTCGACATAGGGCTCATGGTGGAGTCTCTTACGGGGCTGTACCGTGGCTGGCGTGCAGCGGGTGATCTCGCTCTGAGACATACCAAGGTCCAACAGCAGAGTGGAAATTTGGCCCTGGAAGTCCACGCTGCTGGGGTGCTTCAGCACTGAGACCAAGTGCAGCTTCAGGTTCTTGCGCACACTGCTCACTTGAGACTTAGCCAGAGTCGGGGGCAAGTTAGCTGGGGAGCACAACAAAACAGATAAAGAACAAAATAAAGTAGTAGATTTGTGTTTGACTCTGAATAATGTCAGCGGAGGGAACTCACCATGTAGCGTCTCATATGCCTGCACCACCTCAGACATGAACATGGGCCGCTGTCTGGCCAGCGTAGCCAGTGATCCAAGTGCAGTGGTGAGATTAATGCTGGAGATGGCAGGGTGCACCATAAACTTTAACAACTGCTCCAGAGCCAACTTTCCCTCCTCACACAAGGTGTCTTAGAGCAGGACAGGAGGACGTGAAGAAGACAAGGAGAGAAGAAATGGAAGCAAAAATAAAGAATGAAAATGTTTCTGTTAAACTTTTAAAAGTCTTGACATTAGGGCAGTACGCTTTTTTTTTGG